GGAACAACAAGGGCTGCCTCAACCCACCCTGCTTTAGGTACTGAGGATGGAGTGCCAGCAACAAACAAGGCCTTGGCCACAGGTCTCCCTCTCTGGGCGGTGCTGGTACAAAGTGGCCCTGCAGGAACCCACGCAGGTTGTCTGGCAGTGCCTCCCCCTGGAGAGGAGCAGCCTCTCCAGCCCCTTGGCAGCCCAGCTAGGGGGGCCCCTCGGTCCTTGCCAGTGCTGGGTCCCTGATGTCTTTCTAGCTCCTTTCCCCCTAGAGCTACATGCGAGCAATCTTTGATTATGATTTGTACAAACACCCTGGGAACCCAGGGCCAGGGTCAGTAGTGCAAGTTCTAGTCCTGGCTTTGACCTCTTAAGAGCAAGGACAGAATGGGAAGGTGCTGGCAGAGACTTGGCAGAGCCCCTACTGAACGAACACGTGTTGATTATATGATTCTTCTGTCCTGCGGCTGCCTTGGGGTTTAGGAATTCGTGTTCCTGAATTCTTGCTGCCCCTTAGCTTCTTTGAGGCCAAATTTCCTCATCTGTAAAATGGGAGGATTCTTACCTCAGGGAGTTTGTGTGTGGCCAGGATAACAGGCTGGCACAGATGAGACTCAGTAGCCTTGCCCCCCACCCACCCTGCCCCCGGTGTGCTGTGGGGCCCAAGGGTGATGATGGCTCGAAGAGAAGTGGCTCACAGGCACTGGAACACTCTGGAAAAGACTGCCCACCAGCTGTTTGTGCTTGAGCCAGGACTTAACCACTCCCACCTGTGCTTCTTGTCTGTAAAGTGAGCTAATCATTCATTCGTTCATCATTCATCCATCCCCCAATTCATTCCTTCTTTCCAGTAAATACTTACTGCCAGTAGTCTTCTATGTGTTGTGGCTTTAGCAACGCACAGGACAGGCACATGGGAAGCCAGGGCCGGAGGGGTGGAGTGGGGTTCGATCAGCAGAGGACTCACCAGAGCTGAGCCCAGAGAGGAGGGAGGCACAGGGATGCTTGAGCCATGTCTGGATGTCTGGCTCCCTCTCCTTCCCCTGAAATAGTGACAGTAACCATTTGTTCTCTGAACGCTGGGCATCAGGCCAACTGCTTAACACACCTCCTGTTACTTCATTCCCACCACTGCTGTGTCCCGTGAGGTAGGTATCATTACTCCCATTTTATAGACAAAGAAAGTTGAGTTACAAAGAAATTGCACACCTTGCGCAGGGTCACTTGGTAAGTGACAGAGCCTGGAGTCACCAGCTGTTTTTGCCCATCCCGTGGCTGCCCACAGGGGAAGTAGGAATGTGAAAGGCTTGGTTTGTAACACCTCCCAACCCCAGTGAAGAGGCAGAATGTCCTGCCTTTCCTCTCTAGCTCTCCGGAAAATTCTTGGCAGAGAATGAACTCTCGGGTCAGGTCTAGGTGAAGACCATGAAAGCATCCGCCTGGGGACTCCTCCCCGCCCCTGCTGCCAGCTACGAGCTCACAACGTCTGCCTTTGAGCACATTCTGTCATCACCAGCAGCAGGGCCTGCCTGCCTGCCTGTGGCTCCTGAAGCCACAGAGCTCAGAGTAGGATGGGCTACCAGGAGCACGTGGTCCAACTGCTAAGTTTCCATGATGTGACCTGATGGCTTCACGAGTCAGGCCCACACCCAGGGCTTGACTTGATCCATGTCTCTGGATGCACTGGGGCCCATGAATCAGTACCTGTCTGGAGTGAAGGTGGCGCCCTCCCTGAGGATGGGGAGACGTGAGACCGGGAGTTTTTGGTCCTCCACCCCTGACTCCATGAAGCTGAGGCCTCTGGTGAGTAGGCGGCCCTTGGACCCGCGATGCCAGGCTGGCCCAGGCTCACTTGGGGCTTCCTCTTGGGGGATGCAGGGAGCCTCTGGTAGGCGGACCAGGCAAGAGAACTGGAAGGTGTGTTCTTTGCGCTGCTTTAGAAGGGAGTTTCCTCTGCCTTCTGTGTTGCCCCGGACGTCCCTGGGAAGCTGTTGATGAGGCCCCGACACCAGTGCAGGAAGTTCAGAAAACCAGGCACTTCCAGCTTTCACTGTTCATCAGTCTGATGACCACCTCCCAACTCCCCAGCACTCCAGACTCCAGTGGTTACCACCTCAGAGACAGGGAGTGAGACTGGCTCCAAGGGCGGGGGGTGGGGAGGGTAAAAGCAGCCTGGTTGTGGGCTGGGTGTTAATGACTGAGGTGGAGAGGAATGGTCCCCACATTCTGACCTCCAGACCCTTCCCTCGGAGAGTACTTTGCTGCTCATCCCTTCGCTGCAGAAGCTGTCCACTCGCTCAGAGCACCCGGAATTTGACCAGGTCACAGAACCCTAGGATCCAAAGGAACATTTTGGGTTATTTGGGCCAGCTTGGCACCGCATGCCTGAATCATGACAAACTGCTACCCGGCTGTGCTTGTGTGCCTGTAGAGATGGGGAGCCTCATACCCCACATAGCCTCCTGATAGCTCTGAACGTGAGGAAGTTCTTCATACTGCACCTGCAAGAGCCACGGCGTCTCCCAAAGGCACCTTTACATGTCATCTGGAGCATGAGCCTGGCACCCTGGGTTATGTTGCCACTTAGGAAGTTACATTTGACCCTTGAACAAGGCAGAGGTTAGGCACCCACCCCCCACCTCCTGCGCGGTCAAAAATCTGAATGTAGCTCAACTCCCCCAAAATGTAACTACTAATAGTATACTGTGGACCAGAAGCCTTGCTGATAACATAAACCATTGATTAACACACATTTTGTATGTTACATGTATTATAAACTATATTCTAACAATAAACTACAAAAAAAAGTTAAGAAAATTGTAAGGAAAACACATTTACAGTACCGTCCTGTATTTATCAAAATGAATCCATGTATAAGTGGACCCACGCAGTTCAACCCCTTGTTGTTCAAGGGTCAGTCATTGTCCTGGATTCTGCCAGCTAGAGCCACCTTGTGGTGACCTTCAGGGACCAGAAATTGCACCAGCCCCACCTGCAGCTTGCTCAGTCTTGAACAAGTGACTCCTGCCACACCAGACACTGGGCCTCCATGTGTGATGACCAGTCCCTTAAAGATGGCCTGCTCCACGGTTCTGTTGTCCACAAGGAAGCCAAGTCTCTGGGGGAAGGAAGTGACTAGCATCGAGCCATCTGGGATGGTGGGTCCCTTCTGTGATCCTGTGCCTTTGCTATCCATGCAGCTCAGCAGGTGTCACCCCAGCTGTGCCTGAGGCACCCTGTAGGTGAGGCAGATGGGGGCTCAGCCTCCGCCTGTCCAGGGCAGCCAAGCATTATATTGGAAAATAAGCTAGATGCCCCCTGGCTATGAT